AATAGGTCCCAAAATAGTAAGTCGACAAGAGTCTGGGAACTAACTAGTCAAGAGGGAAGACGGTATTGGTCTTGCTGAAGCTATTACAAAATGCATTCTTTTAACAGGTAGATCTGGATTGTGGTGAAATTTAAGACCTTGTTCAAGACAATTTTAGGTAGTAGTTCTTCAATTATAAGTGTGTTCTTGTTTAATATGAAAAAGTACCAATTAAATTAATCACAAAAGTATTTTTTTTGTTTTCCTGCCAAGACATCCTTTTGTAGTTGCAGTACTTTCTACCACTAAAAACACCAATTCCTTAAAAATAAGTCATCCATTGCAAAACACACTACTAATTCCTTAACCTCTTTCGAGCTTCACAGGGCGAATAGAACTCCAGAGAAAGTTGGTTTGTAGTATGCAACTGGTGAGTTTTTTGTACTCTTTAATTTCATTCATCTATAAGAGCATCTCCAATGGTAAAATGTGCACGGTGCACACGTGGCATGAAAAATAGCCACATAAATATTAGCAAATAAATTCTTTCTCTCCTTATTTGAATGATTTTATACAGTTTTGGTAAGTTTTTCTCCACATTGTCAAGGAGACCGTCTAGATGTTGACATTGTTGTTGACATTGCAGGAAAAAACTTACCAAAATTGTATAAAATCATTCAAATAAGGAGAGAAATAATTTAATTGCTCATATTTATGTGGTTATCACTCATGCCACATGTGCACCGTGGACATTATAGCATTGGAGATGCTCTAAGGCTGACCACAATCCAAAGGTGAAAAAGCTATTTTTAAATTTTTGACCCCAAAAACTACTCCAACCCATCGTATAGCAGCGTGCCAAAGTGGCTTGGGAGCACCTCTAAAGTGGAAACCTACAGCCTTATTCACAGAAGAGACAAAGCAGGCACGAGTTGGGCGTATGGAAAGGAGGCAAGGGTCCCATGTAAAATTATAATCCCAATTTTATTTAAAGTATTAAAAAAAATTTATTTGAATTCCAATTTTTATAAAAAAAAAAAATACTCCGTATATCATAATTCATAACTTTTTAAGATCTTTCATATGACACCAATATTGGATATATCAACTTCAACCGTTCAAGATTTGTAAACATAATTTTTTTCTTGAATAATTTCAAGTGTTAAAAATATGATTCCATGAGTTGTCATGCCATCGTCCGTCTCTCTTTCTCTCTCTAGGTTTGCCTCACGCAACCCCTAGTTTTTTCGTCCGCCTTCGAGTCTTTCAAAGGGTGTGTTGGTTGGGTGATTTGGGCGGTGTTGTTGGAGTCAGGACTGTGGACAATCGGATTGGTGGGGAAGGAGGTGGTTTTGACTATTTATTTCGGTTTCAGAAGCAAGGGAAGGGGCGAGTTCGACGATCAAGCTAGGAGGACGGTGCAGTTCCGATAGCGTAGAGCTTCCGAGGCGGTTTCCAGCAGCAGTGCGACGGTGGAGGAGCATGGAACACTTTATTGATCGGTATAAACAATTGGCGATCAGGGAAGGGTATGTCGGTAAAAGAAATTGGTGAAAAGAGGTACATATTTACTTTCAATCATTGTTTTGATATGATGCATGTGCTGGAAGGAGGTCTGTGGCAGTTTGAGCGTAGTCTCTTAATGTTAAAAGAAATTATGTCTGATGATATCCCACACAAAATTATTTTAAATCAGACTGAGTTTTGGGTTCAGATCCATAATGTTCCCTATAGTCTTGTTAATTTGGGTACTGCCAGACGTGTGGGAAATTTTATAGGGGAATTTATTAAATATGATGATAATCAGAAAAGTGTCTGCGCTTCTTTGATATGAAGCAGCAGTCAATCCATGCAATTTTGGACGCGATTTTCACTATGGGTCATCCGGAAACAGTCTCTTTGTGCTTTAATACAGGGTAAGACTGCGTACGTCCGACCCCCCTTACTCCACCGTAGGTGGGAGCCTTTGCGGCACTGGGGGTAAATGAAAATGAAATGATAATCAGAAAAGTGATAAATTAGATCTATATATGCGGGTTAGGGTTCTTATTAAGATGGATAAATCGCTGAAGAAGGGGACAAATCTGAAAAAAGATGGTAAAAGTTTTTGGGTAGATTTCAAATATGAAAGGCTACCCAACTTTTGCTTCATTTGTGGCCTTATTGGACACTCAGATAATTGATGTCCCTTAAATTATGAAGAAGGCCTAGTTTTAGAAAAAAAGGTTTGGAATCCATTTTAGAGCAGGAAGCGGGGTGAAGACCAGCCCAACAGGAGGTAATAAGTTGCTATTGGAGGGTTCATCGAGCTCTGGCATAACGGGTGGATATACAGGGGCATTTAAATCAGAAGAAAAGATTGGAGAAAAAGAGAAAGAGGCAACGACTGAATCAGCCCAAAGCTTTACTAAAGAAGGAGGGGAGGAGCCAAAGGATGAGGTTTCGAAGAGAAGGAAGGTCTGGAAGACTCAGACAAAGAAGAAGCAAGAAGAGGACAATATGGATTTGGATGGAACAAAAAACGGGGAGGAGGCGGGCTTTGCTCTTTAAGCCCGCCGAAGCTACTGACAGGAGTATGGAGGCCGCACGTCCGAGGGACTGTTCGAGTGTTCTGGCTGCGACGGAAGTTTTTTATCTTTTGTTTTATTTGTTGTTTCAGTGATTGTTATTTCTGTTATGCTGTTTGTTTTTTCTTTTGTGTTCCTGGTTGTAAGACGTTGATTTTAGATGTGGGGGATGAGAGGAATATGGTGACCGTTTTTTGCTTTAGGTTTCCCATTTTATGGATGAGCGAATTATATTGCTTCTCTGGAGGTGATTAATTCCGGGTCTGGTTCGCGGGATAACGGTTGTCAGATTTCTTTTTGTCACTTGACCCATACTCTGAATTATCTGTTATTAATATAAGCCGAATTCTTCCAAAAAAAATGATTCCATGATTAAAATATTTTTTTACATCTTACAATCATTTTTGTTTTAAAAATAGGTCTGAAGTAACCGTTAAAAAATTTAACTCCAAATTTATTTATTTTTATATCGGAACGTTTCACTTTTCAAGTCATAATTATTGACAATAAAAAATTGGAAAATATATTGATGTGTAACAATAAAATTAAGGCTTTATTTAAAAAAACTTTGTTGTTTGAATATATTGACGGTGTTGGATTGCAGTAAAAATTAAATTGACTGAGTGAATAAGTATAAATAGATGGAGAATTTGATTTATTGACGGAGATGGGTTGCGGTTAGCCTAACCGCACTACACATCTTAACACGTACTACCTCCGTCCCATATTGGTTGTCCACTTTTAATTTGGCACAGTTATTAATAAAGTGATTGAAAAGTAAAAGTTGTGGTTGAGATTTGAGTAGACTAAAGTAAAATGATAAAGACCACATATTTTTTGCCAAAAAATGAAACAAAACATTCATTTTGGGACAACCCAAAAAGAAAAGTAGGACAACCAAAATGGAACGGAGGGAGTACTATATATTTATTACTCCCTCCGTCCCATTTATATTGTCTCGTTTTACCTTTTCGGGAAGTCTCACTTAAATTGTCCCATACCATATTTGGCAAAGTTTGTGTGGCTCTAAATCATTCTTACTTTATTCTTACTTTATCCATTAATATCAACCACACAAACTCACTTTTCTTAATAACCGTGTCACCCTCTTCCGTCCCAATATAAGGCTTTGTTTGCAAACATTTAATTTAAGTGCTTTTGTCTTTTTTTAAGAAAAAAACACTTATTTTATCAAACAATACCAACTTTTACTTTCTCGGTTTTCGTGTATAATCTACTTTTTACTTTTTCTATTACACAAAAAGCACTTATTTTACCAAATACTACCAACTTTTACTACTAATCACTTTTCCCAAAAAGTGCTTTTATTTAAGCACAATCACTTGCAAACAGAGCCTAAATGGGACGGAGGTAGTAATAATCAAATCCACCGTCCAAAAAGTAAAAGTAAAAAAGCTTTGTTTTTGCACTCCCAACCCCATATGAAAAGACAAAAATGCCCTCGATCAGGAATATGTTGAAGGCCAACATAATTGTCAATGGAGTGACATTTTTGTCTTTTCGCATGGGATTGGGGTGCAAAAACAAAGATTCTTATAGACGGGGTGCAAAGTCCAATTTTGACAATAAAATGGGGTGCAAAGTCAAACTATCCCAATATAGATATATAGATATATAGATATAGATGGGTAGTCAATCATTTTAACCAAATAACCACAAAACACATTTAATCAACCAATTCAACTATCAAATTTGAAATTTTGAAAAAATGAAGAAATGCACCCAAATTTGGTGAATGCTTAATAAATGTATATGAGGATTGAAGAGAGTGGAAGTGGGAAAAAGGGGGGTACCAGTGTTTGGTGTGATGTATTTGAAGTTTGCATTTTTTATGCAAAGGTATTCAAAGTCCAAAGATAAGGCGGTCAAATACCAAATTGGTATAATAATAATAATAAAAAGGTCGTTTGACTTATTGATAAAAAAATCACTTGAGACATATTGATAAATAAAAAAATCTAGTGACAAATTGGTCAATTTTTTGTGAGTGATAAAATTTTGATTCTCGACTTTAGAATTCCCGACATTTCATATTCTAAGTATTGTGAAATTGACTTTTGCAGTCATTTTACTTTGACTTTGTCATCAAAAGTTGAGGTCTACAAATGTCAACGATTGCATTTGATAATATTATTTGTCTGCTAGCTCATAGCCGGTTGATTCAATAGATTGTTAATAGTGGATTCCGTTAGCTTTTTTTAACCAACTGTTTTCATTAGCGGTTTGAAATAAAATGTTAGTAATGGCTTGTTTGATAGTTTACATGTTAAGTTTTACATACGAAATGATTGTATGCAAAGTTTAGGAAAACAATAATTTACGTATAAAATAAATTATGTAGTGCGTGAAAGTTTCTAAAAAATAAGTATCCTATAATTTCCATCAAACTAATTATTGCGCACGGATTGCAGTACCAAAGTCAATCCCGGTCAGCTGGTTTTGGAGCAATCATCAAGATGACCAAGAAAAGTGGATTCATGGATATATTCGTAAAATTGGGGCTACCAAATGCCCCCAATTTCCATCTTTACCAAACTGTTCTTACATATCCACGCACAATAAATGCAGAACTTGATACGATGAAGAAAGTAGAGATCTGAAAAATGGAGTCGTCCTCGTCCGTCTCACCTTTTCGATCGGATGTCATCAGTGGAAAAGTAGCACTGCTAACCGGAGGTGGCTCCGGCATCGGTCTCGAAATCTCCACCCAGTTCGGCAAGCATGGTGCCTCCGTCGCTATCATGGGCCGCCGTTCCTCCGTCGTTCAATCCGCCGTTTCTTTCCTTCAATCCCTCGGAATCCCCGTAAAACATCTTTCATGTCCTTACATCATACTGCTACCCATTATATATCTATGTTTCTAGTTTATACTAACTTCATTTTGTCATTTTATACAACTATTAAGAGTAATACTGCCCCCCTTCCCACAATTCATTCCATTTTATATCACAATTAAACTTGTTTTGCTTATCTTCTTAACTACGATCATATATACTGGGTCCAGTATTTTAAAGAGTAGAAGTCTGGCGGAAAATTTATTTGGGCTGGAACACATAAGGGTTGTTCGGTACGGCATATTGAATATTTTTGCGGTATTGAAACTTCCAAAAATTGCATATGGTTACATTACCAAAATTTTGGTATACAGTATTTGGGTATACGGAAGTTTTGGTAAAGGTTAACTCAATGGTAAACTCTCAACAGTTATCATGGACTAATGGACACATTAAAAACATTATTAAAAAATTATAAAATACACATAATAACCTATTGATGTCCTATTCAATATTGAACAATAATTATTAATTTATTACTCCGTATAATTATATTTAAGCAGTTCCACGTGTTAAAAACAACACATTCTCCTATAAGTAACATAAACAATATAGATATAAATTAGTCGATAGTGATCTCTAACAAAAAGGTAAAATCATTCAAACAACATGGATATAAATTAAATCATTTATCCCTAGGATGATGTTGTGTTTATAGTCATTTTATAATTTTAAAGATATTGTTTGAATAGGACTTTCAGTATTACGGTATATCGGTATATTTTTTATTTTCAAAATATATATCAATACCATACTGAAGTAATTCGGTATGGTATCATACCTTACCGAATATGTAGATATACTTAAATTTTAGGTAAATTCGGTGTTTTTCGATATGGTAAAAAGGAAAAACCACAAATTTCAGTATTTTCCTACCCTAGGAACCACAAATGTATTTCTAACAAAATGCATAATTTGGGAGGGAGGGAAGAGGCTAAGTAATTATTAACCAGACGAAAGAAGTGTGTGTTTCTTCTAATTTTAACAACAATAATTATAACAGTCTATGAGCTTTAGTACAGGGGTAAGACTCGTACATCCGACCCCCCTTACCCCACCGTAGGTGGGAGCCTTTGCGGCACTGGGGTAAATGATGATTGATTGATGATTGATATGATCAGGCAGTTGGGTTTCAAGGAGACGTCCGGGTACAGGAAGATGCAAAGAGAGTGGTGGAGTCTACAGTCAAACATTTTGGGAAGCTTGACATTCTGGTCAATGCTGCTGCTGGCAATTTTCTCTCCTCCCCCGAGGATTTATCTCCTAATGGTTTTCGAACAGGTCAAGTTATTTGTTTGTTTGTTTATCATTTCATTTAAGGCAACCCTACATCTATTATTGTTGTTATACACTACGGGTTCGAGTATGGATGTATTTATGTATTTTTTAGGAAAGAGAAAGTTTGATGATGTATTAAAATAGATGAGTGGTATATACATGGTGCGTGCAGTGTTGGATATTGATGCAGTGGGCACGTTCACAATGTGCCATGAAGCAATGAAGTATCTGAAGAAAGGAGGTCCAGGGAGAAGTTCATCTTCTTCAGGCGGGACCATAATAAACATTAGTGCCACTTTGCATTACACTGCAACCTTTTATCAAATCCATGTAGCAGCGGCAAAGGTGCGCAGTTTTCTGGTTTTCTTTCCTTTTTTCTTGGTTATTACCTTTTTTACTATTACTTATAGATACTACGTAGATGTTTTGTAAAGCGAAGGGTTTAAACAACAAAGCATGTTGTGGTTTCTGAACCTAGCTTACCTTGGGCAGGCTGCGGTAGATGCGGTGACTAGGAATCTGGCACTAGAGTGGGGAACCGACTATGACATACGAGTGAATGGGATAGCACCTGGTCCCATAGAGGGCACACCTGGGATGAGAAAACTTGTGCCTCAAGAGATGATGATAAATGATTACGATAGTAGTAACCACCGTGACAGCATTATGCCTCTATATAGACTTGGGGAGAAGTGGGATATTGCAATGGCTGCTCTCTACCTTACATCCTGTGCTGGTAAGTGGTTTTTTTTATTGAGCCTCTATTTTAGGTAACAACCATCAGCCCCAATAAGTAGAGTCAAAACAAGCAAATTCTGTACTAAGAACATGCACCATCATCTTCGTCCAAGGACGAGACTCACGAGAGTGAATCTGTAGAAGCAAGGAACCTGCTGATGAGCTAGGATATATGAATATATTAATATGTACCCAAGAGAGAGGGAGAGAGAGTAAGCTAAAGCTTAAGTTGGAGGTAATCCATTGCTCCACCTTGTCAAGGCACACACCAATTCATTTCTTCTTAATGTAGTTAATTAATCAATACCAGGGGGCTATAACTGAAGGTAATGAGAATTTGGTTACAACCAAACAAGCAAATAACAATCATTGTATGAATAGGAAACTAGTAATAAAGCTATGTTGGGCCATGTGGTCTGGTTGTGCCCCGCTTCATTGTGCACATCTGCACCGCTTTGATCCTTGCTCCGATGGCCCAATGAGGCATAACTAGCATATTATATAACTACCAGACTGTACGTTAATAACTGACTGCTTTATATTATAAAAAAACATTAATGAAACAGCTCAATTAGATGTTGTGACAATATGATAATTATAACTTGATGATAGGGAAATACGTGAACGGGACAACATTGATAGTGGATGGAGGACTGTGGGTGAGTCAGCCAAGGCGTCTACCCAAAGATGTGGTCAAGCAGCTTTCTCGAGCTGTGGAGAAAAGATCAAGAGATGCACCCATTGGCACTCCACCTCTCACCAGCAAACTCTGATCCTCCTCCCCACTGGATGGAATTTCATCTACCCGCAGCATCCAATTTGTTTGCTCCAAAGTGGAACTAAATTCACTTGTTATCTTTTCTAAATTATACTATGTATTCCCAACCTTTTTTATAAACCAGGTTCTATGCTTCGCCGGTCTAATCCATCTCCCTAGAACCTACCCCAAAACTTTTGACAGATTTACACCGTGGGTTGCTCAGCTTGCCCTCCAGGTTGCAAACCCTGTTTTAAGCTTGATATGTGGCACTTTGTTGCCTACTAAGCTACTATAGTATTAATGTATTATTTTATGTGAAGAACCTTGCCCTCTTTTATTCTCGTTCACTTGTTAATACACAATATCTTAGTTTAAACAATCTTCTTTCACATAATCTCGTGTGACACATTTTAGTGGAGAAATAAGAGTTTGGAGGAGGCATATATATATAGAGAGAGTAATGATCCGGTCAGGAGTTCCTGACCGGAACCGCCGTCCGGACCGCGGCGTTTGGCTGCCTTCCCGGTGGCTTTTTTTGATGAAATTTTTATGACATGTTCTCCATCAAGTCTAGTTTATCCACAAAAAAATTCAATCAAAAACTCAATCGGGAAGGTCGTCAAATGATTTTTGCAAGTTAACTGGTCCGGAAAATACATATTCCGGACCAGTTAACTTATGGCTGGACTCGGGCCGGTTCGGGCCCGGTTCGGGCCTGGGCCCGGCCGGGCCTCGGGCCAAGAAAGGGAGGCCCGAGCCCGAACCGCCGGTGGCCGGTTCCGGTCCCGGTTCCGGGCCAAACCGGGCCGGGCCGGGCCGGGCCGAACCGGCCCACTTAATTTTTTTTTTTTTGGTCTCCTATTTAATCCCCTACCCCTCCCCCTCAACCCCAAACCATCCCAAACCACCTCAAATGGCACAAAATACCTAATCCAACCTAAAACTTAAAAAAATTTCAAAAAAAAAAAAAATAAAATAAAATCCGGCCCGGACCGGGCCCGAACCGGCCGGGCCGGTTCACCAAAACCTGGGCCCGGGCCCGAACCGCCCAGCAGCCGGGCCGGGCCGAACCGAACCGGTGGACCCACCGGGCCCCGGGCCGGGCCGGGCCTAACAGTAACCGGGCCGGGCCGGTTCCGGGCCGGGCCGCCCGGCCCGAGTCCAGCACTAAGTTAACTTGCAAAAATTATTTGACGACCTTCCTGATTGAGTTTTTGGATGAATTTTTTTGTGGATAAACTAGACTTGATGGAGAACATGTGATAAAAATTTCATCAAAAAATTCCACCCGGAAGGCGGCCAAATGCCGCGGTCCGGACGGCGGTTCCGGTCAGGAACTCCTGACCTGAACATTTGTGTGTGTGTGTATATAGAGGGGGGAGGGAGGGGAGAATCAGGAGATGGTTACATATATACTTTTCATTAGTATATTTCATCAAAATGTGTATCAAATAAAGTATGCACGATTTCTGTTTTAAAGCTGGGATTGGAATTATTGGAAGAAATCATCCATCGAAAGAACTAACGTCTTTTTTTGTGTTTCCAAATGCTTCATCAAATTTGGCACGATCTAATGGAAAGCGAATTTGGTTTTTGATATTGCTTCTAATCAAAAACAAAAAAAAATTGCTTCTAATCTATTACTCACTTCGTCCCATTTTGGTTGTCTTGCTTTTCTTTTTGAATTGGTTCAGGAAGGGGGCATACTGCCAATTTGTATTTTCCCTTTCTCAACCCTTTGTCGCTCCCCATCTGTTCATCACCAATGTCGAGGGTCGGAACCAAATCTGTCAACCCTTGATCCGTGGCTAGATTGTCAATACCCCCGATTGTCATCTTCTTATACTGGTCCACGATGTTTTCCATACAAAACCTGCTTTCCTCGGACAGCTAAATCAAATTCGCCCGCTGAAAAACTCTCCTCCGTTCACTGTTTTGTCGGACTTGAAAGATGAAATATATCGGTATAGGACGCGAATGATGGAAAACTATCAATTTAGGACCCGAATGATAAAAACTATCAATATAGGATCTAAATTGTTATGATTTGTTTTTTATTTTAAAAAATTGAAATAGTATTTAGTTTTATTAAATTAATGAACTTATGTGGAAAAAATCATCAAATATTAGCAATGGAATTAATAAAAATTAAATGAATCAAAACCTATGAAATGTTAGGTTATAGATTGATAGTTTTTCATCATTGGGGACCTGTACTGATACACTTCATCTTTTAGGTCTTGTATTGATAATTGTCTATCAAGTCCCATATTGATAAAAATAGTGGAATTGTTTTTTTAGAACGTGCACTTTGAGTGCAATTGTGGAGTTTATATGTTTGAGTGCAATTGGGATGTTTTGGAGAAATCTTCCCAATTGCAATTGAGCCCGTTTGGTGTCTCTGTTTTTTGGCTTATCAGGCTTATCAGTCAACTTTTTCACAAAATACATAATTTTTGATTTCGTGCATTAAATTGTGTAATAATAAGAAAATTTAAGATTGAAGTTATTTTTATGGCTGTATTGACTGAAGTTACTATAGATATTCATTTTAGATATTATTCGTTTTTTTTTTTCATTAATAAAAAATATTTAATTTTTTTCTATATAAATAAGCAAAATCAGTCGATTCAGCCACTTCAGTCAAAACTTCATAAATTTCAGTAGAATCGGCCGATTCAACCAATTTCGTGTTACCAAACATACTCTAAATGAATAAATATAATTGCACGTTATTTAAAGTCACTAAAATAAAAAAAATATTCTTAATTTCTTATGAAAAAGTTTGATCTGAGTGCTATTTATATTAAAAGTAAAATGTTAGTTTATAGATTTGTTTATAATGTTTTTAAGGGATCTCGTTAATGGTATTTGTGATCGTTAATGGTATTTGTGATGCCAGGATTCTTTTAAGTTCTTGGATATTTAGAAATCAGAAAGCCATCTTTTTTTATGTAACGAAAGCCATCTCTTAAAATTGTGATTTTTTAGAAATTCCAACGTTGTTGAATTCTAATTATAATCCAACACCATGCTTAGTTCGAGTTTTTAGCAATTCAGATTTTAATCCACGAAAGAGTTTTAGGGAGGTTTTAATGACTTCTAAATTTTAGAAGACATTTTTAAATTAGAAAGGGAATCTATAATATTATTATTAAAGAATTGCTTAGAATATGACATGTGGCAAAACTTTCTATAATTGTATCTCTCAAATGTATTATCTATGGATGAGTATTATATTTCCCTTTTAGCAAGAAATACGTGATTCTTAACATTTCACTTTATTCTACTCAAGTTTCAATCATAACTTTTATATTTCAAACATTTTATTAATAATTGTGCTAAACTAAAACAGGACAACCAATATGGGGCAAAGTTAGTATCAAATTGCAAGTGAAATTTTAACAGTAATCTTGTGATACAACTAGATCACTGCCTAAAAGTAACGTGACATCCCTCCACTTTGAGTGTGGTGTCGGATATGTAACAGAGTATTGGGTCATTGGGTGTGGTGATAAAATTGCTAATATTGTTAAGTGGTTGCCGAAAGTGACGCATCACCTCAATGCCAGATGGTGTCAAATATGTGAGGACATGATGGTAGACTAGGTGGTGATAATAATAGGAGGTGGGAATCTAGATTGCGCTTTGGGACTTTGAGCATTGAGAATTTTACGAGAAGATCATATTAGAAGAAATATTAGCATTATGTGCGTGTTAGGAATTAAGTGGATTGGAGAGGAGCTACGAGAGATTAATCTTGAAGGTTTTAAGTTTTGATAAGGGAGAGATAAAGGTAGAAATGGAGCAGACATCATTGTGGTGTGTGACTATGTTGAGGATGTGGTGGAAGTATTTAGGAAGAATGATTGTAATAAGAACATTAAACTAGTGATAATGAAGGATTAGATAAATCTATCACTCAACAACTTTGGGAGAATTTTGAGAAAGTGGTGTGATGAGGTCAAGGAGAGAGAAATTGGTTGTTGGAGGCGGCCTCAATGGACATGTGGGCTCAAGTAGTGGTGGTTTTTAGAATATTCACAGCAAACATTGTTTTGGCACTATGAATGAAGCGGGATAGAACATTTTAGATTTTTTCACGGTGTATGAGTTGGCTATAATGAACACTTCGTTCAAGAAAAGAAACTCTTACTTTGTGACCTATAGAAGTGGAACTAATAGTACCCAAATTGACTATTCCATAATACATGTGGAGTATTACTTTGAGAAGTAGCTACACAGATTGTGTGAGATTATCCCAAGTGACAGTGTTGTCATTCAATATAAGATGTTTGTGCGTGAGTTTTTAGATAATAAGCACAGAGGACGCGTTAATCAATTAGTAGAGTCAAATACAAAGTGGTGAAGGCTCATCTCCAATATAGATTTGCACATAAAATATTTTGTAAAGATATATAATGTATGGATAATGACGCGCATGTGGAGATTACAAAATTATTAATGGAGCAAATCATCAACAAAGTGACTTATACAATTTCCTGTTGGGATCCCTCCTTAATTGGAGAGGTTCTAGAAAATTCTAGAGCTTTCTAGAGAAGTATAGAAATTTCTAGAAAGTTCCGGAGAATCCTAGAGAAGTCTAGAACTCTCTAGAAGTTTGTGGAATAGTGTGGAATCCTCTAGAATATTCTAGAGATGTGTGGAACCTTCCGGAAGCTTATGGAAGAGTATGGAAGGATATGGAATAGAGTGGAAGAGTATAGAGCCTCCTAGAGTGTGTGGAGCATTCCAGAGAATCAATCTCCACCCTTGGATAGAAATCATCCCCACCATTCATTGTGAAAGTGGAGTAGTATAAATAGGAGTAGAGGTCTCCATTCCTAACTATCCTAGCAAGAGAGAATCCACTTCTTAGAGTGAGAAAGTTAGAGAGTCTCTTTGAGAGAGAAGAGAGATAGCTTGGGAAGTTCATATCCTCAAGCTTGAGTGAGCCACCATTGAGTGAGATAATTTTGTAACATCCTTGTAAATCCTACTATTCTTTTGTATAGTGGAAGAATCTCCATATTGGAGAATTTAAATCGTGTGCTCCCATCGCTACCTAATTTCCTAAGTGCCTATCTTAACTTCACGAAGCGGGAAAGTCCGGAGTTTTTCCCAACAGTGGTATCAGAGCCAGGTTCACCTGAGATCGTCATTAGCTCGTGTAGTTCAAGACGGAGGATAATGTCGCTCATGACGGAGACATGTTCAAGCTCACCGCCAACAACTACTCATATTGGAAGCCGATGATGGAAGATCATTTATACTGCAAGGATTTGCATGAGCCCATCATCTACAAAGAGAAGCTTGAAGGCAAGAGTGATGCCCAGTGGGAGCTACTGAATCGGAAGGCCGTTGCTATGATTCGTAAGTACATCGACAAATCTCTCTTCGAGCATGTTTCTACTTACACAAATGCTTATGAATTATGGACAAA